TTTTATTCGATATAAGAATGAAGTGGAAAATCAACTCAATCGCAAGATAAAAGCATTGAGAAGCGATAGAGGTGGTGAGTATGATGCTCCACTTAATGAGTTTTGTGCACAACACGAGATAGTGCATCAAGTAACCCCACCGTATACACCGTAGTCTAACGAAGTGGCGGAGCGGAAAATCGCACTCTAAAAGACTTATTCCTGGATTACCCCAGAATATGTGGGGGAGGCTGTTTTATCAAGTAATTATTTACTAAATAAAATACCTCGTAAGAAACTTGACAAAACTCCGTATGAACTTTGGCATAATAGGAAACCTTCCTATAAGTATCTCAAAGTGTGGGGGTGTCTCGCGAAAGTACTTGCACCACCACCGAAGAAGATGAAGATCGGTCCAAAACCAGTTGATGGAATCTTCATCAGGTACAATAGTATGTCATACCGGTTCTTGGTGTACAAATCAGATAACCTTGAAATTCACAAGAACACGATCATAGAGTCACGGAATGCAACGTTTTTCGAGCACATTTTTCCGTGCAAGTTAAGTGGTGAAGCTAGTTCGTCCAAACGTTCTCATACTAAGATGATGGATAATGATGATCCAAATCAGTTGAATTTCGGTGACGATGATGAAGTCGAACATGAAACTGAATTGAGACGAAGTAAAAGAATACGAACTAAAAAGACGTTCGGTTCTGACTTTATAACATATCCGATAGAATTTGACAAAGAAACTTTGTCATTTCTAATGGAAAATGAACCCGATATTCTAACCTGTTTGGTAGAAAAGGAACCACGGACCTATCACGAGGCCGTAACCTCAACCGAGGGACCTCAGTGGCGAGAAGCCATAAAAAGTGAAGTTGATTCTATTCTTCAGAATCACACGTGGGAATTGGTTGATCTCCCTCCAAGGTGTAAGCCATTAGGTTCCTAATGGGTTTGAGGAAAATGAAAGCTAGACTACTTTGATACTTACGCACCTGTGACTAGGATAGATTGTATTAGAATGATCATCGCATTTGCATCCTTACGAAACCTTGATGTTTACCAAATGGATGTGAAGACAGCTTTTCTAAATGGTGAACTAGATGAAGAAATCTATACGGAACAACCCGAGGGGTTTAAGGTTCCGGGCCAAGAAAAGAAGGTCTGCAAACTTGTGAAATCATTATATGGTCTTAAACAAGCGCCAAAACAATGGCATGATAAGTTTGACAATGTAGTGATGAACAACGGTTTTAAGATAAATGAGTCGGATAAGTGTGTATACTTTAAGAACACATCTGAAGGGTATGTCATTTTATGTCTGTATGTAGACGACATACTCATCGTTGGAAGCAACGACGGGATGGTTAAGTCCACCAAGGACATGTTGAACGCACGATTCGATATGAAAGATTTGAGTCTGGTTGATGTGATTCTTGGAATCAAAATAATAAGAAGACCAGATGGTCTGAGCTTGAGCCAATCCCACTACATTGACAAAATCCTTGATAAATTCAATAAGGATGATACAAAGATAGCTAAGACGCCGATAGACATAAATGTTCACCTTGGTAAACACCGAGGGAGTAGCGATTCTCAGACAGAATACGCTAGAGTTATCGAAAGTCTAATGTATCTGATGAGCTGCACACGGCAAGATTTAGCTTGCGCCATTAGCAAACTAAGTAGGTATACTAGCAATCCGAGTGCTGAGCACTAGAAGGCCATAGTCCGAGTAATGAGATACCTTCGGTATACTCGAGATTATAGCCTATGCTATGGCAGGTATCCACTTGTGTTGGAAGGATACACTGATGCCAATTGGATTGCGGATAATAAGGATTCAAAGTCCAGAAGCAGATTTATCTTTATGTTAGCCGGTGCAGCCGTTTCCTCGAAGTCCTCAAAACAAACGTTAATTGCCAGATCCACCATGGAGTCTGAGTTCATAGCACTAGATAAGTGTGCAGAACATGCCGAGTGGCTTCGGAATTTACTTGACGATATTCCAAACTGGGAAAAACAAGTTCCTCCTATTTGCATCTACTGTGACTGTCAATCGGCAATAGGACGAGCTCGGAACAAAATGTATAATGGTAAGTCTAGGCACATTCGCCGTAGACACAAAACCATTAGACAACTTCTCAATACGGGTATTATCTCAATTGAGTATGTCAAGTCAAAGGATAATTTAGCGGATCCATTAACTAAAGGGTTAACAAATAAGCAACATGAGAAGTTAGTGGTAGGAATGGGTCTGAAAGCCCTACCATGTGCTGGGAATGTTCCATGAAGGAAAACCCAACCTAGGTGATACCTGGGTTCAATGGGACAACATACTTGTGGAACGAAGCATGGTCACTATGGGGGCAAGCCGGATCACCGACTTAACACCCCTCCGTTCCTACTGAGATACAGTGACTCCCAAAAGCGATGAGGTTAGCATGACGCTTTAATGATTCTTGAACTATGGACAACGAGGTCCAAGTGGAGTAATCGGGATACTCTTAGATGAATCACCTATGTAAAAGTAAGTGTGGTCGCTTCAACAGAAGGATTTCGGGCTGATCCTGTCTGACACTCTCGCAGAACCAGATGCGTGTTCCACGACCATAATGGGCACACCCATAAGAACGGAATAATGGTTGATTAGAATTTGTGTATTGTATATCGTCGTTTACATAAATGGCAGTACAGTTCAAAGACATCACGTTTTACTGAACAACAAATAGAGAAGGTATACTTTACAAGGAGTAGGTTCAAAGGCATAAAACCTACCTACTCTTGCAGGTTTCAACTTTAGAGTTATTTCCAGTTACATGAATTAATTTTCATTCATGTCGGGGATTGTTGAAAATTTTAAGTAAATTGGACATTTTTTTGGACATAAATTGGGTAGGGTCCATAAAATTATTTTCCGAAATAATTATAGACGCTTCATCTCGTAACTAAGACGAACGCCTTGACATATGACACGCCATAAACGGTGCTCGAGTGAATGAGAAATTAATTCTCAAAGTTGAATATGATGGTAGAGTAAATACCCTTGTCCCACACCGGTTTTTTGAACCTTTCATATTCTCATATTTAAGCTTAGGCTCTTAAATGAGCTTATGAAAGGAACAAGAAGAGGACTCCTCGCGCGCCGCCGCCGCCGTCATCTGTCCGGCTTGGCACGCGCGCGCGTCGCGGCGGGGCGGGGCATGGCGAGGTGGACACTTCGTCATTAACAAAGTGCCGTCCATTTGAGCATGCATGTGCATGGAGGCAAAGAGGGTGCCAGCGATGCCTCATAATCTTCGATCGGTCCAAGCGAAGAGCCAACTTCCCTCTTATAAAAGGAGGGCTTGGCTGCAGGAAGAGAATACACTCGAAAATCCTCTATGCGTTACATAAATTCCAACTGTCTCCCATTTCCGATCATCTTCTCTGGCAGTGACTTCCGTTGTTCTCGTTCGTCGGTGCATAGTTCTACCGCCCTAGGCCTTGCATGAAGTGGTTTTATCCTGGGAGGAGATTGCCCACGTTTGCCAGTGCGGGAGGCGGGCAATCCTACCTTAAGGAAAGCTCATGCAACTCCGCTTTGCTAACTTTAGTTTGAGAAAATGCTCCGGCGACTTCCTAGCCTTCGTCTGGCGTCTCTGTTTGTCTTTCAATCACCCGTCCGTTCGTGTTCTTCCGTCTGTTCGAGCCTCCGAAGACTCCTATTTTTCCTTTCTTTATTTTTCATTGTAAAATCTGAACATTTTATAAGTTCGGATTATTATTATCATTTTTATTTTATTCCCGCTATAATATTCAACACGAGACCCCCCAACCTGCTGCCCAACAGCTCATGTTGTTCAAGTCTTTTCCAAACAACAACATATGTGTGTGTGTGTGGATATATATATATATATATATATACACACACACACACATACACTACCTCCGTCCCAGTAAATTTGTCCAGTTTGACTTTTTTGAGTCAAACTAGACAAACTTTGAACTCTTATTACTCTCAATTTATATTGCATATTAGCATAATAAAATATAATTTTGAAAATTCTCAATACGATAAATCCAATAAAGTCATTTTTATGTTAAAATACATTACAGTTTTTATTTAATTAAAGTTCAAAGTTTGTCAAGTTTGACTAGAAAAAATCAAACTGGACAAATTTACTGGGACGGAGGTAGTATATATATGTATATATGTATATATATATGTATGTATATATATGTATATATGTGTGTGTGTGTGTGTATACATATACATACATACATATATATGTATATATATGTATGTATGTATGTATGTATCTATATGTGTGTGTGTATATATATATATACATATATATACGTACATATACATATACATACATACACACACACACACACACACACACACACACATATATATACATATATATACATACATACATACATACAAACATACATACATACATACATACATAGATGGGGTGATTCCCGTAATAATGCATCTTGTGGAGAGAAATGAGAATAGAATCTAGTCGTTGAATCTTATATATCGTGCGGCTTAAATTGCATCTTGCGCTCAGATTTTGAGATTGTGCATTTTCAAAAGATTTTGGTGCATTTTGACGTAATGCATTTTCAAACCATTTTGGTGCACCTAGTTTTGATGCAATCCTAACCCTTGGATCTCACAATCTAAAGTACTAGATTCATTCTCATTTCTCTCCTAAGATTGCATTCTCACCAGAACCAACATCCGGATATATATATATATATATATATTCAAAATGAAATTGGTAGTGCCATTTCTTATGACAGTTAAACAACAAAAATTTATACACTAACAATACAGGTTGCACCGGGCATATGCGTCTATGTTCTCCACAGTGAAAACAAAGTAAGAGTACAAAAACATACTACCTCCATTTCTCAAAAGAGAAAAGAGTTCCTCTTTTGACTTTGGGGGAAAATAAGGAAGTGTTAAATTGTAGTTGACTTTCCAATTTTGCCCTTGATGTGATGGATAAAAGTAAGATGTGATAGTTTAGTTATTAGTGAAAAAGTATGATGTGATAGGTAGGGTATGAAAAAGTAGGGATAAAAGTGGTTTTTTAATAAAAAGGGGAAGTTTTTTAAGAAAAACAAAAAAAATGAAAGAGAAAGGGAGTACGACCTTTGCGTAGTACTAAACCTTCACGTGCTGCCTCATATGTTTTCGCTGATGTTCCCATGCTTCGGTATTTAATGCGTGGCAATGCGCAGATAGCCCATTCCAGTGTCGACAGGGAGCAGAAACATCGCACACATAGCAATAGCACAGATTACAGTGTTTCTCATGAGGTGTTGTGTTAAAGGGGAACTTAACACAGGTATGCCTTGGGTGTGGAAAATCTCTACATGCCACCACACTGCCTTTTTCTGCTACAACGGCCATTTCCGGATCCTGATAATCAGAAACAGAGCGTTTGGAATCGAAAGGATCGAAATCCAGAATAAAGCACTCCTCTTTATCATCGAATTCGCGCAGTTGTTCCCTTTTTTTCAGGCAGAAAACTGCTCTAAGCGGAGTGCCCTGTGGCTCATCCTCAGAAGCCGGGGAAGAAGAAGAAGAAGAAGAAGAAGACAAATCGACCACCACTGCCGGCGGGTTAATCTTCGCTGCCTTTTTGTAACCCATTTTTGGGTGAAGATGGGAACTGTCTTCTGACGGTCGGTGCCGGAAGCTCTTAGGTGATCATATTTGAATTTTGAATTGCAGCGGAAGAGCGGCAGACGGCAAAGTTCATCCACACCAAACTGCAAATCTCACCATTATTTTTTCACACTTTGATATTTTTTAAAAATAAAATCAAAGGAAGAGGTGCTAACTAGATTTTTAGTGTTGAGCGCCACCATTGACTGCCACCGGCCACCTCTGCCTACCAATGGTCACCACCGATCTTTGCCGGTCCCCACCGCCAGTCGCTGGTTGCCTCCGCTACTAGTTGCTAGTTGCTTCCGATGACCAGTGGTTGACCGATGTGGAATTTTTTAAAATAATCTTTTTATTTTTAAAATCTAAAAAAAATGGTGAGTTTTGGTGTTCAAAGTAGTGACCTTTGCTTCATTTCCAGGTGAGCTTTGTATGGTGCATTAGTGAACTTTTTAGTGTAATATGTTGAATGTGACATCATCTCACCAAAGCATGCATGTCATCTAACATATGGTGTCATCTGACATAAGGTGTCATCTGACTGAAGTCAATCCCATAAGGTGTCAATCACACTGTGGCATAAAAATCAGGTATGGGTTAATATGCTAACCCCCTATTGGGTCAAGCTTAACAATATTAATTAGGCCTGATTAAATATCAACGCAATTACTCTTCCATAAAAACAATACACTTTAAAATTTGTTTAAGGAATAATCATTTCAAAATGTAATGTTAAATGACCTTTTCGAACTCCAAAATATTATAAATGTTTAAAAATGCATCTTGGAGAGATACAACCTTTAAATCTCATAATTAATCCTCAAAGATGGACAAAAATGTACACAAATAAGGAGTAAAAATGTACATGATCATGGACCTTATAGTATAGTAGGGCAATGACTTGGATAAAGACTATCATGGGTGACTCTAAGCCTTTCTCTCTAGGGTGGGTTACATCAGGGTCTGACCTTAGCCTTTTCTTCTTTGCTTTGGTAATGGATGCCCTATCGTAGGGTGTTCAAGGAGAGGTTTCTTGGTGCATGCATGATTTTTGCTAAAAATATTGCAATGACTTATGAGACCCATGAGAGACTAAATGATAAGTTGGAGCTATGGCGCCCTTCCTTGGAACCCAAAGTTTTCAAACTGAGTAGGACTTGTTGGGAAAATCACCTCAATTTTCTAGCGGAAGCAATTAATAATTTTCCCGTCTTTGTGTTGTCAAAATGGGCAAAATCATATGACCGATCAAGAATAGTAAACACGTCAACAAGCAATCAATCAAACGATAAACGAACACTAAGATTTAACGTGGAAACCCCAAATCGGGGAAAAAACCACGAAGCCTTCCACTAATCACCAAGAAAATCAGTGGGTACACCAAGAATCTTCTCTAAATCAATTAGAGGTACACACAATCATCAAGTAATAACTTGGAACACCAAACAACAATAATCTTCACTAAAGAGTGAGAAATCCCCAATAAAAACGCAGCAGTAAACAGAGGCGATTTTACCAACATCGAGAGGTCAAAACAACAATCCTACCGTTGGATATGAAGAAGAGGATCTCAGGAACAACATACTAAAATTTCATCCCGATCGGAGCTCGTTTGGTCGTCGATCGGAGCACAAAACCAGGCTGCACCTCTCTTTTTCTCTCTGTTTTTGCTCTGTTCCGCTGCTCAATTGTGTCTGTGACCAGCCACAAAAGGCTTTTGCCTTTTCTACAAAGTGGCAGCCCCAAAGGTAAGTGGTAGCCCCCACCACTTTGACCCATTTCTTTCTTTATAACAATTATTATTATTATTATTATTATTATTATTATTATTATTATTATTATTATTATTATTATTATTATTATTATTATATTACTCCACCTCTAAACAAATTACATTTTTAACACCAAATGTATTGTTTAGGAACTCCTTCCTCCATGTAGGAGGGATACCCCAACAAATCTCCCCCTCACACCTACATGGGGGGTAAAACTCAATGATGATAAATATCATACAAACCTTTCACAACCAACTGCGCCAAATCCGTAGGTTGTGAGCAACACTCTTTTCTCTTCAACTTGAACACCCGATTGCTCTTGGGTGCTCGCTTGCTTCCATGCAACTTTACCAGGGAAAGACCATGTCCATCAAGCAAGGATATAACCCCATCTCGCTTGGCTTGAACCCACTCTCTCTGGTGCACCTTCTTCACTTCTTCCCGGTAGCAATCTCTCTCAAATATACCAATTTGAGGAACCCTCTGTGGCAGAACTCCATGCTCAATATGAAGTGGCTCAAGTACATCACCATCACGAGCAACATCATCACCACAACATTTTTCTCCTTCTTCTCCCCCATGATCTGAATGTATGGAAAGAGAAGGAATATCACCTTCAGGGAGGATATTCTGACAACTCTCAAGCATGTGACCAAGCCTCTCGTGCGATAAATCCGTGAGGGCTTGGCCCAGAGCGGACAATATCATACTAATGCGGGGTTGGGGTGAGGGCACGCGCAGTCCCAACATGTGGTATCGGAGCCCAGGTTCTTACGGGCGTGAGGCGGACTGTGTAGTGTGGAAAAATCTCGGTGTGACGGTGTAACAAAAAGGACCAAGACCAAGAAAGAGGATCTGCAGGTGGTGCCTTGTGTCGAAAGTCTTCCCGGCGAGAGGAGGTCGGGCGGCGTGTCCCGTGAAGTTATAGCCACGGCGGTACAAGATGATTTGGCGGATCAAAATGGTGTAGCCCAGCGAAGAAAAGATCTGCGGTTCGAGCCTTGTGTCGAAAGTCTTTCCGACAGGAGGTCGGGCGGCGTGTCCCGCAAAGAGTGTGCGGCGGTGCAAGATGGTTAGCAGATAAAAAGGAAAAATGGATTACCGCTGGAGGGGAGGTCGGAAATTGTGTGGTCCTTGGTTGAGGGGAGGTTTGTTGGGGATTCTTCCAAGTCCCACACCGGAGGGAGAAGAAAAAATGGACCAAAATATATAGGTTCACCCAACCCCATTAGTATGAGGTCTTTTGGGAGGTGCCCAAAAACAAATCCGTGAGGGCTTGGCCCAGAGCGGACAATATCATACTAATGCGGGGTTGGGGTGAGTGCACGCGCAGTCCCAACAGGACTAATAGAGAATATATGGAATGGTTTTTTAGTGGCCAAATGATAAAATCAGAGTTGGAAAATTAGTTTGGTTTCCATTCAATGCCTAAGAGAGACAAGTTTTGGTATCTTTCTTCGGTCATGTTCATGAGAGGGATATTGCACACCATACTTAAGCAATATACTTTGGTTTAGTTGAATTTGGCTATGGTGGTTTTATTTAACAAGAAGTTTTTGGCTTTGACCAATGGAAAGTTCTACCAGTCACGAGCTATGTCGTATGGTACAGAGTCTTAGGCATTTAACAAAACTCACATTTGTCAACTGAATGCTATAGAGATGCGAATGTTGCAATGGATGAGTGGCTAGATGCGATTGGATAGTGTTACTGTTAGAATATAAATAACTGTTCTTGGGCCACAACTATAAGCTTGAGCTTTTGGTTGAGTGTTGACATGGTATCGGAGCCTCGTTGACTAAGAGGTCATGAGTTCAAAACTCAGCGCCACCCAGTTTAAAAAAAATTAAGGTTTCACGTGCAAGGCTCGAAAAAGACTACGCCTGCACGTGAGGGGGCGTGTTAGAATATAAATAACTGTTCCTGGGCCACAACTATAAGTTTGAGCTTTTGGGTGAGTTGGTTCCTTGACATGTACAATTGTATAGTAACAACTAAAGAGAAAGATGAACGGGCCTAGAAGAAACTAAAATAAATAAAGTTCTCAATCTATGATTTGTTTGGATAGGAAAATAGCTTGCAGATCTATAAAAGGCTTTGCGGAACAAGGACAATACACAATAGACGGTGAGGACGTTATGAAAAGGAATGGAAAGACAAGACATAGTGGATCAATGCAGCAAATCAGGTTGAGGATACTTTGTGCTGTAGTAATAAGCTCTTTGTGGTAACAACGTACGAGGCCATTATCGATAAAAATAGAAATTCACGAGGATCCTGTGGCTTGACACAAAATCCTAGTAAGGGCACTATGAATTGAAACAACATGAAAGGTAGCGGGGTCATCGACTCTATCCTTAAGCTAATAGTGCGGCATGCAGATTAACACTATGTTTTGTTCAAGGAATTTGAAAGAGAAAAGAAATGAAAATGAATTGGAAAATAGGTTTTCTTGTTGAGTTAGAGAGAAACAAAAAAGAAAAGTTGAAGAAAAATAAAATGAGAAGAAAAAATATACTAACACTATGTTTGGTTCAAGGAATTTAAAAGGAAAAAGAAAAGAAAATGAAGTGGAAACCCATTTTTCTTGTTTGGTTAGAGGGGAAAAGTGGAAGGAAAAGAAAATGAGGAGGCAAAATGTACCAAGTGGAGAGAAAACCAAATTCCTTCCATTTTGGTGAGGAAAATGAGAGAAAACCATTTTCTTTTCTTTTCTTTTCAAAATCCTTGAGCCAAACATAGTATAAGAGAAGGGAAAATCAAATTTCTCTCATTTTGGTGAGAAAATTGAGAGAAAATAACTTTCTTTTCTTTTCCTTCCAAATTCCTTGAACCAAACATAGTGTAAGCGTCCTAGCGTGTAAATGTATTACCATTAACACGTCGATTACACAATATTTTTTTGAAAATCATCCCCTTAAGTTAGAGATTAATGGTTACGTAATTGTGTAAAAGTGGACTAACTTAAAAGTTAAAACATTACATAAAAGTAGTAGAACACACGTTCTAAAAATGGCACTTGCGCGCTTACCTTATCATACTCTTCTATTAATGGGTCAACTTTGAAAGTCAATTTCTCGTGCACCTGTAAACCATTTTTGATGTATAATATATCAAATTCTTCGTCTCATTAAGTTGTAAAAGTTTGGTTGAGTTAGTTCGGTTATGTGAGCTGGTAGAGTGTCGAGGCCTTGGAGTGGAGATGTGAGATGCTTACCATGGTGGACGGGAGTTGGAAAATGGATATACCTAAGAAGAATTGGAATGAGGTATTTAGATAGAATCTAAGACTTCTTGCCTTTTCCGAGAATATAAACTTAGATAGGGTTGTCTAGAGAGCTTGAAATGGAGTAGTTGGTGGTAGTTTGTGCACGTATCGTTGTATGCTTTTTATGCATGATACTTTTTTCTTATTTTGTTTTTCTTTTTGTAACATTAGTGTGGTCTTTTCTTCTTTTTCGTGCTTTGTACTTTTGGTGCTCATTATGCTATGTGTGTTACTCAAGCTATGGTATCTTGAAAATAGTCTCTTACAATATCTCCATACACACAACTTCCCCATACCATACTTTCGTAGAGTATTCAACTTGTATGGGTTGTTACTGTTATATTTTTTGAATTGAAATTTTAACCAAAGTAATATAATATAATACTCCCTTCGTCCCAGAGTATTTGTCCACTTACCTTTTGTCACACTATCCAATGCACTTCTTTAATCCATTTTATCTTGTAATTTGTATATTAAAAAATTATAGAAATTATATATTAATAATCTATATGTTAAAACAAATCAAACAAGATTACACATGACTATATTTAGGCTTACACATTGAGAGAATTTGATTAGTCAAAGTGCTTAGATGAACAGTTCCAAAAGTCAAAAGTGAACAAAAAGAGTGGGACGGAGGTAGTATAATATAATATAATATTATTTATCTAGTTATATTTAATATTTTTACATGTTTCAACATATTAAACACATAAAGTTTAGTTAAAGTAACATAAATATCTTAAGTATAACTAAAATACATTATTTTTAATAGTAATACTTTATGGAAAAAATTCAACTTGGGTGAAATGTGTCACTATGCATGGATGTATACGAATTCAAATTCAAATTAAAATACACAAATCAAATATGAATTGAATTTGATATTCAAATGGTAAATGGTCACGAAAATTAATACCTTAAAAATAATCAAAATTGAAGTGAATATTTGAATATTCAAATCGACTTGTTTATAACTTTAAGTGTCACTCTAACAATATGTTGATTCACTTTATTAAATGTGTGTGTTGATATAATTTTCTTTTTGAAGGTTTGTTTTATCAAAATTTGAGGAAATATTCAAGAAACATGCCCGATCTAGTGCAAATGGTATGACATCAAAAGAATTCGATGAACTTCTTAAGGCAAACAGAGAGCCAAAAGATTATAAAGGGTGGTAAGTTTTTTTTTCCCTCACGCAAATTTTTTTGGAATTCTTGAAGTTATTTTACTCTTATATATATATATATATATATATATATATATATATATATATATATAGATTTTGGTTCAGATGAGAATGCAATCTAATGAAAGAAATAAGAATGAATCTGGTGCATTAGATTGGGAGATCTAAGGGTTAGGATTGCATCAAAATTAGGTGCACCAAGATGGTTTGAAAATGCATCATGTCGAAATGCACCATAATCCTTTGAAAATACACTATCTCAAAATTTGAGTGCAGAATGCAATCTGAGCCGCACGATGCATCAGATCCAAAGGCCAGATTTTATTCTTATTTCTTTCACCAAGGTGCATTCTCACTTGAACCAGCCCCTATATATATATATATATATATATATATATATATATATATATATATATATATATATATATATATGAAACAAAACATATAAACTTCCGAAGTCATTAATATCACATATATATATATATATATATATTAAATTATCTGGATATGGCCATAAACTTCCGAAGTTATATCAATCAGTGGGCCCGAAGACATTACACTTCCTCACAATGGAAGGGATAGATTCTTTCTACGTCATTCATCCCTTTACATATGTTTAACTATATACCAGAAACATAACTGTACGTCCACCAGTATTTCAGATGACATTAGATATGAAACAAAGCATATAGGTCAACATATTAAAGATCATAATGACCTCAAGTCTAAGGATAGTTATACCAATGGTCGAATGAGAATACTACTAACATATTAAAATAATACCCATGTAGTATTCTCATGGTGGGTAAGTCCAGTACCATATCCAAAATATGTATCTACGTATAGATTAAGATATCACAATATCCATAGCCTATGAGACGCAGCTATCTTGTCTTATACGTATTAGTCTTAGTATATTATGACGTTTGTATTATCATAATACTCAACTAGGGACATTTTAGACATAGCCTCTATTAATGTAACAGCCTCATAATCAGAATATCGTAGTTCTACTCTATGCTACCGAAGCACTAAGTCTATGGACTAAATCCATGTTTAGATACACGAGATGTGTAAACAATCTTTAAGGCCTTTTTATTCTTGATAAATATTCAGATATAAGTAAACAATCTTTAAGGCCTTTTTATTCTTGATAATAGGAAGACTCCTAATATTATTTAGTTTCCTTATTCTTGTATTACCATAATTACTTTATTCCTTTCCTACTAGGAATAGGACTCTCTCTTGTAATCCCTATATATAGGAACATATCTCTCAATATTCAATAAGACAAATTATTATCAAATTGTATCATGGTATCAGAGCCTAGGTTTAAACCCTAGCCCTTTTTTTCGAGACTGTGCCTTCACCGCTGGTCTCCTTCCTCTCGCCGGTCGACCATAAACAGCAACCATGGCTCAATCTTCAGATCCGCTTGCTTCGCTTCCTTCTGGCGTCAAGCTTCTTCTCCGCAATCTCCATAATCTTATCCCAGAGAAGCTCACCGATTCAAATTATCCTGCATGGTCTCTCAATGTCAAAACTGCTCTCGAGGCCAACCTTCTT